TTATACCACAATAAATTATTTATAAATGTATTTGAACATTATTTTTATGTTTTGGTGTACATTTTGTATTTATGAAATGTTTTAGTTTTCCTGCAAAGTCATCTGAAGGAAAGTGGTAATTGAGTTTATGTTTTGAGTATGGAATATGAAATAATATCCATAGTAGGGGACGGAAACTTATTGTTTTGATCAATATCAATTATTCTCTACGGCCACCAGAACAATCAAGTTGTACAGATAATTGCTAATGAGTGGTAAACATACAAATATTTTATCATAGGTGATGAATCTTGCTCAAGTTCAGTGTTAGACGTCCAGCAGTACCAAACTTTACCTATCGAGATGGCGAGTATTCTGGATATGTGGAACTACAATTTATCAGTGAACTATACCCAAACCATTTTTTTTTTATTACACAGGGAAGTTGCTTACACAGGGTGTGAAAAGTACAAAAAGAACAAGAAAATATAAAAAGTCATTAACTGTGCGTAAAGAGACAATCAGATTGAAAAAAAAAAAAAAATACCCCCGCCGCAGCAAACCTGCCGACTAAGCGAATTTCCATTCGTCTGAATTGATTTTCAGTTAAATATATTTTGATAACATTAGGTTTAACGAGTACCTAGGTTTGCTGCTACAAGGAAACTAATAAAGTGTGTTTTTGAGTAAAATATTGGTAGCTTAGTACAAAATGAATAAATTTACCAAGTTTGATCAAAATATATTCATAAACAAGCAAACTACAACATTTGACAATATTCTCCATAAGAATAACATGGGAATTTTAAATTTACAATTTTTTTAATTTTCTCCGTTACTAATAATCGAACAAAAATACTGTTGTATACTAAATTATTTGTTTTTTTAAGCTCTTTAAAAAGGTCTAAAGAAAAATTGGGAAATTTTGTGTTTTGAGGGTCAAAAGTGAGAAAAACCAATTTTTACCCCATAAAACCCCCCGTAAAGCCCCGTTCCCATGGTCCGATCGTGCTGGTTCGCGAACTCATTCAAGTTTATCACGCTTTACACCTTTAAACCAAATTTCATCAAAATCGGACAAAAATTACTCAAGTTATCGCGTTCACGGACGTATATATATATATATATATATATGTCTATATATATATATATATACATATATAAAAATTTGAACGAATAGTGTTTTTGGCCTCTGGGGACATCAAAATGAAAAAGTAAATCGGTCCCGGGTCTAGGTCTTACCGTGCCACCTACGGTAATAGCTACTTCCCTATAGGGAAATTCGCTAAAACGTAGAGGAACCATCAAACTAAAAAAGTAAATTGCATTTAAATGTGCTCTGGCAGTCCCTACAAAAACACAGACTCTTTTGAATTGGGGTTATAATTGAATTTTTGAAGGCAAGTGAGCGCAGCGAACGAGCTCCAACCTAAAGGTGAGTGAGCGTAGCGAACGAACTTCAACCAGGACGTGATTGAGCCATGCGAACGAGATCATCTTGAAAATTAAGAAGTTAAACGGGGCAAAGCCCGCGGATTACAGCTAGTATACTTTATATTTGAATTTTAGTTACATTATAATTTGTTCAGCTGTTCCAAGAGCACTCACTACCACGTTTATTTTAGTCACCTCCCATGTTTAACTACCCGAATGTTAAATTCGGCATAACAAATTTACATATCAAATCGCCTTGAACAGTAAAAGGCTTCATAAAAAAAATATAAGACATAACACAGGGAAGTAACTAAAACTTATCAATAATTGTATATATTACGTTGTCTCTGGTTTCATTATTATACATTGCAGAGTTGACTGGAGAAAAAGTAATCCAAATTTAATGTTAAACTAGTTAACCGCCCGTGCTCTGCCACGGGAATATTTTCAGCAATAAGAGACATAACAATTAACAAATACTGTTTATCTTTGTATTTAATTAGAGGCAGCTTATTTTTTTTACATAAAATAGAACTGATAGCTGGCCTATATTATAAACTATTTTATGTTAATCAAACCCATTTATTAGTTTAACGAAATGAATGCTTTATTTTAATTCGAGTTTCATTTGAAAAATAAATAATGTATGAACTGCGCAATGCTGATAACCTAATAAGCTACTTATTCTATGGAGATAATTTGCTTATGTATACTCCTACATTCCTTGATTTCTGTTCATTATATTCGTTGTGTGGAATAAAGATAGGCCCTAGTCACTTAAATCACGCATCAGCACTTGGTCGCATCTTTGACCTATTCTGTGAGTAACAGCTGTGTTAACGTCGTATTTATAAAGTTGAGCATACTTTGGTACAATGTTAGAGGGTATTTACGGTCCAATCTGATGGTAAAAGTAGTAGTACCAGATCTTAAAATTATATAAACTACCAGAATGATGTTGATTCATCTAAGTGAGTCTTGGAGCTCGCCATTACAAATGTATTATTCAAATAGTTTTTTGAAAGTTTTTTGTTTCTTTTGATACTTAATATTTTCTCTATAGTCGGTATATGTAGCCCGGTTGATAAGATCTTCCATTAACTCAGAATGTTGATAAGGAGCTAATTTTACCTTCCCATTGTGACAACATAAGGAGAATATATTTGTGTGCCTGTTAGTCTGTTCTGACTCGAAGTTCATAGATTTTCAGTAGTGACAAATCTAATTTAAAACCGCATCTTCTTTTCTTACCGTGATACGAACAATGTTGAAAAGTTCTGATCTTGTCGATATTTTTTATATGAATCGTAAATAAAAGAATCTACAATCTGAATATATAATCTGATTTGAAAGATCATATGGCATGAATAAAGATCAAAATGGCACCGATAAAGCCATACAACCACACAGATATGCAATAAGACCACCAAGCACCTACCGTCACCGTGGGTTGATTCCGTTGTGTTTGCAATCTCAGCTATAACTACAGACTTGCCATAACAATGTTTAGTTCGCAAGGTAAAACTAATGGAACACTGATTTGTATGGTCGCCATTTCAAAGAAAAGTATAAAAGTAAAGTAAAGATACAAATACACGTAATAATAAACTTGTTCTGTAGGTTAATGAATCATGTTCAAATTGAATCCGAGAACCAATCACGAACTAAAATAATACAAAACAAGATGAATATTAGAACAGAAACTATATTGATCCTATACAAATAACGACACTAGCCCGAAACGGCCAAAAACGTCCAAACCAACGTTATTAGTGGTTCAAGCTTGTGACGTCATTTGTTTATGTTCTTTGATCCTAGCCGTTTCTTTTCTAATATCCATGATAACAGTTACTATAACTCCTTTACGTCAACAACTGATCTTATGCATTAGTTTTTGTGTCAAATACTGCTTCCATAAGGATTACATTGTAATTTTGAGGGCCCGTGGGGCGGATTCCTAACGTCATATAGATGTTAGCACTCACCAATTTGGTCTTTATCACCAAGCGAATTTTGAAAATGATTGCTTCAGCCGTCTAGGAGGAGTTGCGTATTACGAAATGCATACGAGTCGACTTATAAGAGCTTCGCTCAACAAAGTTGTGGATACTTAATGCCTACGAATTTTTGGCAGCAAGATTTCTGGATTGTAGTTCACTCCACAATCATGTTCGATGCTTCGAATGCTTATACGATTTTCAAGAGATAGAACTTCCCTGTAACCGCCAGGAAGGCCACTATGTAACATAATATGACCGCACCACTACCGCAGCATTGAACATGTAGCCGGTCATATGATATTTCTTACATTGTAGTATCCACGAGATCAATATTATTTCCTATATCTTCAACCAACCCCGATTCCAATTTGCTGATTTGCGTACTAAGAATGGACCATTCTTGATTCTATATGTTTTGGTGAAAATACATACACTGTAATTATGTTTTATTTATTATTGTTGTAAACAAACTACAAGGCATGTAACCATACATGATATACGTAAAATACGAGCACTTCTCTCAAAGTGTCGAAGGTGTCGAATTCATCCTCAAAAATAATGTACAATATTTTTGTTTCGTTTACGACTCTTCACTTCTCGCATTATGTTTAATTTATCTCGGCCTATTATAATTTGGTTTGTGCTTAACTTAAAAAGAAGTAATTTTTAGATTGGCACAATAATCTAGTAAAAAGTATGCAAATTTGTGATTTATTTCACGTAGTACTGGTAGTTGGTTCAATAGTGGTACCTATTAGTGTTTTGCGCAATATATTTTTAAACGGGATAGCCACTTATTTATATTAATTTTACCAGTGTCCATCAAAAATAGGTTACGAGACAAGCCGATGAAAGTAGTCCAAAACCCTAAAAATGAATCTTGAAACAACCCCGTTTTCCATGATTTTCAAACATTAAGCTCGTAAGAAAACTCAAAATCTTTAAGTTAGATTAATGTTGACAGCTTCAAAACATTTAAAATGCATACAAAATAATGCGTGCATTTCTTTAAGTTTCATGTTAAGGTTAGTTTTATTTCCTCAGAGCATATTTCCTCAAAATAACAAATCAAGATTGATGGAGATCCATTCTTGATGACATTTTTAAACTTCTTAACGATGTTCCACAGTACACTCCGTTACCGTTACACTCAAGTGCGATTAGTTCATTGAAGAACATCCTTTGTTAGCCTGACGATGGTGGAGATATTTAAATAACCGCCGAAACATAAATGTAGCACTCGATACTACGTGTGAAGGATTGTCTGACGAGGAACGTTTAGCCATTATTTGTCATAAGTAAGCCTGCATATGAAGGACATAACTTCATCATAAGTTTCTTACAAAGTAATATTTTCTGGCACGATGGTGAAATCAAAACTTAGAAAAAAACTGGTGGAATTTTTGACGTGTGAAGAAATAATTAACTTACTCACTAATTACTGAAAATTCATCAAGGAGCATCCGTCAAACCTTGTGTATTGTAGGGCGCAAATGGTGTGAGACGCGAAGGTACGATGGCCAAGGTCGGCATACCTACCACAACCATTATACCACTAGCCTATACCTCACTACCTGTCTAGTGTCTACCAGTCCAGTGCGGAGCGTGGACCCTCCGTCGTCATGTACGCGCTGATACTGTTGATAACATGTCTCTTAGGGCCAATACCCTCACACGCCACGATTGAAAATGGTAAGCATACCATATTTGTCATAACTTAACATAATATTTTAAATATACAGACGTTCATTTTACATTTTTTACGTAAATTTCAGTTTTAGAATTTGTGGTTTTGAGTTGACGACTACAGGAAATAATCTTGAATACGAACATGTGGTAAACAATCCATTCATAAGCAGGATCAATCAAACGTAATAAATAAACGTAGATATAATGTTGAGGACAAATTAATATATACTTGTAGGATAGGTGTGTAAAAACGTATACAGGGTGTTCAAAAAAGGTGGGAACATAATTTACGTAGTGGATTCCTTGGGTCAAAATAAAGAGAAAATCAAGAATAACATTTTTCCAAAATCACTTCGATAACTAGATATCCTCCATTTTGTACTTTTTAAATACACATTTGTATCATTGAAAATTTTCAACCGATCTTTATGAAACTTGTTATGTTTGTTAAGGTAGATGAGACCCATGGTAGGAAAAAATATCCTCTTGATTCATCTTGACAAAGTATAAATCATTATTATGGCTTAACATTCTAAAAAATATTCAGTGTATAGATTTAACTTATACAGTTTTATACTATGAGTTCCTTATTTTTATTTTACAAATCATAATATTTCCCGCCGCGCCAACCCTAGAGACTAGAATTTCCATTTACCTGGCTGGATTTCCACTAAAATAGCATCTTACAATTTTCAGATTCATTTCATATTTAAATAACATTAGTGTAATGAGCACTTATGTTTGCTGCTGCAGGGAAAGTAATAAAGTATTTTTTTTTGTAAAAAATTAATAGTTTAGAGAAAAGAATATTTCCAAATTTGATCAAATTATGTTCAATGCAATCAAACTAAATTGAAAGTTTTTTTAATTATTTAATTAAATTTCTTTACATAACAACGCTTTAAAATGCTAAATAATTTGTTTTTTAACCTCTACAAAATGGCTTTAAAACCTGTGGTAAACTTCTCATTACCATTGAATAATAGAGAGCGTTTTGATTGAAGTTGTCTTCTTTTGGGTTGTTTTATGTTTAAATGTTAGTAGGTATATAGCTAACAAGTAGCTACATAAAGTCGACTTTAGCCCCTTTTCACAAGTATTATAAACCCGTACGAGAGTGTGTTCATTCTATGACATTGGATACAATATTGTCAGATTGATACACAATGCACATTCTCTATCGCACTATCATACTGATAACTTCATTTTAAATACTTCTCAACATCAAACTATTTTACTTTGCATATTTTAATCCTTCTCTTAAGTGTGAATTGTTATCATAACATATAACATTATTTATAAACCTATATTGTTGTGCTATATTGAGAATGTAAATACAGTATACGATTTCACTCACTCATTTAAAGTAATCCGTCCATCTTGTTAACACTATACAATTTCCAGAAATAATTAATGTAGTTAAGTCCAACACAAAACATGATGATTTATTTAAAATGAGCCTGAAGATATATACATATTGTACTGTATAGATTGAATAACGGATGTCCGCCTGTCCTTAATGCGTGGCCAAACCTTTTATCGATCACCATGAAACTTAATAAAGTTGCTCTAATCGTATATGTGTTCGAGGATGTTTAAATAGCATTTTTTGAAAAAGCCATAGGTTTCCTTATTTTTCCACCATTAAATTGTCAACCTGTATAAAAATTAAAAAAAAAACACACATACAATTCAACATGCAGTCCCAAAGAAAAGAATAATCTTACCTGTTTAAATTATTATTAATCGCCATTCTTTAGTAATTTAAGTTTTAAAAATTAAAATGGCCGCCATTTTAAAATTTTAAGTTGAATAAAGATTACTGTTTTCTAAAATTTTATATTGTCTTGTTATATTGTCATCTCGTTTGTTTATGTTAATTTATGCAATATATTAATGTGTTTTTCAATGAAGTGTACTGGTTCATAACAGTAATAGCTCAATACAAATTATCTAGTATTTTTGCTTCAAAAAATACCTGAGAAAGTGACAATTGACTTAATACTCTTACAAGTAAGTGTACAACTCAACTGATCCAATTATCTATTGATGGCTTTCAAATTCTCTAATATTAACCTTATGGGGGGTAATTTTTTTTACAAATGTTCTTAAATTAAAACATTTCATTTATAAAGCTACAATAGCCACTCACAGTTGTTGGTTTACTTTCCATTAGCAGTGTGACTATCCATTGCCATCCATATCCATCGTTTACTATAAAACAAACTATAAAATAAATAAGCACCGGTACTGTACAAAATGAACAGGTTCATGAGTAATATCATATACTAGCCAAACAAAGATAGACTTTTCATCCGTGTCGTAACACTTTGGCCCAAGTAACACTTCGGCCCAGTAACATTTCGGCCCGAAACCCTCAGATGTGGCCTACGGTCCAACTCTCTACCTGCCCACTAGTAACACTTCGTCCCAACAAAATATTCCAAAGATTGGTGTATTTTTTTTCAAAAATATAACAAAGATTCCACAGATTCTCCGTCATGTGAGGTCAGAGGATGCAAGGGGTGACGGTTGGGCGACATTCCACCAGAGGGTGGTTGCAAAGTATACAGGTCATGTACCTGGGTCGCCGGAAGACTCCCCCCCGGAAGACTACCCCCCCCCCAAGCAGGTTCCTACGTCATATTGACGTCAGAGACCGGGGGGTAGTTTTCCAGTCACGGACACTCAAATTTAGTTGTCAAACAGTTCTAATCTAACCTAACCTAACCAACCAAACTTGTTGTAACATTTCGAAAATCTCTTTTATATTCACCACACGCATTTTCTATTATCCAACGGAATTACTCGAATTACAATTAAAATTACATAGCAGGATTTGTCTAGGGGGGGTAGTATTCCAGTCGCGGACACGGCTTCCATATTGGTAAGTTAGCAGATTTTGTGACGTCACGTGTGGGGGGGTAGTTTTCTGGGGGATAGTATTCCGCATCCTCATGTACCTCTTACTACCTAAACTGCGTTCCTCAACCCTTGTCAATTTTTCGTCGGCCCGTCGGGCCGAAATGTTACTCCATTAGCTTATTTAATCATCTGTAAAAGCGAGTGGGACGAAGTGATACTGTTTTTCTAAGAAATTTGAGTTTGTCCGAAATGTTACTGGGCCGAAGTGTTACTACATCTTTTCATCCAATTGCGAAATGTGAAACTTGTATTTTATATGATAATCGAGATTTAATACTGTATTTTTTTACTCGTCTTTTTATTCGATTTTACAAGCAATGATTTTGTTCATAGCTATCATTATGAGAGTACAAAGAATCTTAGTGCCATATTTGTTAACATTGACTACATACAGTAAATACAGAACCATCCATAAGCCAGAAATGATCTTGCATATAAACAGGTTTGGCTAAACATCTTACCATGACCACACGTGTACATCACTACAACATTTTATTATACGAGTTTTCAATCTGCCTGTCTCATTAAAATACAGAGAGTTCTCCGCTTGAAATTACTTAAAAACAAATTGTTTGGAAAATACCATATTTAAACTAAGCAGGCGAATACAATAATTATAGTCTGCCTTTTCACCAATTAATTTTGGTATTTTTTTAGGAAAGTAAAAATATTTTTTTATAAGGCTACCACTTAATTTCTTAATTTCAATTACTGCTGTTTAAAGGAAATCGTTTTGAAAATAGCATAGCATACCTTTTTAAAATTAATTTGCCGACCACATTGAAATATTGCCTTCTTTAACGCTTATTTGCTCTGGGTTGGATTTGGAAGTAGATTTCGCTCCACAGCAAAATATCACAGATTTCAAGATATCAAAATCCCACATGGAACTCCTTCGAATGAAAAAATTGTCGTAATAATCGTAGTACATTGAAACAGAAGCTCATCTCTATGAACAGTGGACTTTTTTATTTTGGCCTTATGTAGCTGTAAGTCAAGCTAAGTTCCTATGGATTGACATGTATTTGTAAACTACTGATTGCAACAGTAATCTACAGCCATGTAACAGTCATTTTATTACAACCAAAGAGCAAAGTGCACACTTATGAATTTACTCTAAAACAAGAGAAGAACATTAACATAATCTACATAAAGTGATTTGATACTTGACTTGAAACACACCAGAACACAGAACAAGCTTCGTATTTTACTATGTGACGAGAGGGTTATACATGTGTAGTGGGAGGGGGTTTCGTCACAAGCTTAAAGGAACAAAATGCTATTGAATTAGTATTATACGTGTTTTGAAACTATTGAAAGTCGAATTATAATACCCATTAACAGTTAATTGCAATAGATGCATCGCATTAACCAAACTAATATTTGAGGTGATTACTCTCAATTTTTTATAACCACCCTCTTTGCCACTGCATAGAAATAATGTAAACAGTAGCAGTGGATGTCATCAATCAGTAACTAGACTGGAGTGTGTTTGATGAGTGATTGAGCAACAGATCCTTGATATACAATTACAGAAACACAATCCTTCAAACATCGTCACTCGCACGACGCACGTCGCACGTCGCACAACGCACGTGCAGTTCTATATCTGAGTCATATTAAACGTCGACCAGGATAAAACATCTCGTTATTGTGGAGATGCTATTTAAACACATTCACGAGCTACAAATTACAGTGTTATAATTAGAACAATAAATATATGTAATGGCATGTGTAGAGTGAAAATTGTATACCTAAAATACAAGAACTAAATCAACAACGGAAAAACTACTTAAAGAAATTCAGAATAATTTGATAGGGAATTAAAGATGCTAAATAATAGTTTTCTTGACATTTGTTTATCAGCCATTCTTTAGTAATTTAAATATTGAAAATTAAAATGACCGCCATTTTAAAATTTCAAGTTGAATAAAAAGGAGTTCTTTTCTAACATGGGTCTCTTCTACCTTAATATACAAACCAAGTTTCATAAAGATCAGGTGAAAAAATTCAAAGTTAAATTATGTAAAAAATATAAAATGTCGGATATCTAGTTAACGAAGTGATTTTGAAAAAAA